AATCTCATTTTCACTTATGATCAGCGTAAAAGCAGAGAGCTTAACTTTGACCTTACTTTAAAGTCAATAAGAAAGTCCTTAAGTTGCTGGCAATGGAGAAACTTAACATTAATTGGTAAAATTCAATTAGTTAAAACATTTGCTATGCCTAAGTTTATGTATCAGGCCTCCTTTATCTCTTTTGATAAGGATATAATTAAAAGCATAAATTCTGTGATATTCAATTTCGTGTGGAGAGGCAAAGACAAAGTCAAAAGACTAGCCTTAATTAGTGAATACGAAGACGGTGGCCTCAAAATGCCTCACCCTGAATCTTTAATTAAAACTCAAAGAATTGTGTGTCTGGCAAGGTATTTAGATGATAATAGTAGTCCGTGGAAAGTTTTCTTGTCTCATTATCTTAAGAATGTAGGAACCAGTTTTCTGCTTCAGTGCAATTTCAATCCATTGCGCCTACCCTGTAAACTACCTTCTTTTTATAAAGAATGTCTTGAAGTTTTGTCTGACTTTAATGGCAATCACGATATAATAGCTACAAAACAGGACGTTTTAAATGTGACTATCTGGAACAACCAGAACCTCTTGATTAACAAGAAATCAATATACAACAAGAGAATAAAAGAAGCAGGTTTTGTGAAACTTGGAGATATTCTCTCAAATGACTCAAAATTAAAAGGGTGGGACGCTTTTAGAGAGAAAAATCTCTCCTTGTCAGATTACTTACTCCTACAAGGCATTTTTTCCGCCATTCCGCCTAACTGGAAACAGCTCCTTAACGTTGGAGAGAATAATAACAACCGAATTGACAAAACTGTTTCAGACGATGTTCAAGATATAACTAGAATGACTTCAAAATCAATCTATTCCACCCTGGTCAAACGAATCCAGATTTCTCCGACTGCCCAATCTAAGTTTAATTCCGTATATAATATTTCAGGTAATATAGACTGGAAAAATATATATCTATTGCCGGGTCGAGTCACTCTTGACACCAGAACGAGAGCCTTTCAATACAAAATCTTAAATCGTATTCTCTACACCAATAAAATCCTATATAAAATGAATTTGGTTCCTTCTCCGATGTGTACCTTTTGTGGAGATCACGAAGAAACTCTTGAGCATCTTCTAATCAGCTGTACCTACACTAAAAACTTTTGGCTTTCGGTTATTTCTTGGTTAAATACTTACAATATGAAAATTGATAAGCTTGATGAGGTAACAATCCTCTTTGGTATTTCCGATAATATCCCTGGGAATTGTTTGTTAAATCACATAATCATTCTTGGAAAATATACCATTTATTCATGTCATTGTAAAAATATCAAGCGGTCTGTATCCTTACTGGAGGCTAAAACATCTGAAACTCGGAAATTTGAATTTTTGATTGCAAAAAAGAATAAAAAAGATTCTATTCATTATAAAAAATGGGAAAACATGTTATTGTAACTCAATAGATGAGTATCGGGTATTAACAGGTATAGACGCAGTTGTATATACAGTCGTTCTACCAAAAAAGGAATTTGATGTAGAAGTATTTGTACAAATTAGGTTTATATTATTATATAACCACAACATAAATTAAATCTAGCCGACTGTGAATGTAATGTAATGCAGTATTTCGTAATTAGTGTTAGTGAGTAGCGTAAGCGTTAGTGTAATTAACTTTGTATCTGTTTGTATTATTCTAGTATTTGTGCTTTAAGTGAAAATAAAAAAAAATGTTTAAAAAAAAAAAAATCTCATTTATGATAGCTTTTGCCTCAGGATTACCAAAAGCACACATGCTGGAAAGCACCATTGACAAATTTTCTTGGCTCCTTTCACAGATGCCTTGTACATCTTGGAGAACGTGGCTTCCCCCTTTTTTTAATAATTTTCTGGGGTCTCCAAATCATTCCTTTCACAAATCTCCTTTAGATTAGGGGAATTAAGACTGCCACTGTCGCGTACCCAAGTGTTGGGATTACGTTGAGTGTCAACCACATATACACATCCGTCTCATTCCAGTTTTTATTGAGTACAACGTGTTACAATGCGGTGAAAACTAAAAGGAAATTTATGATTGCGTAATCAGAAATGATTCTATGGAAATTACAAATGAATGTAACGATAAAAAAAGGCGATTAAATTTACAAAGGAAACTCACGTTTGATCCTGCGTAAAAAGGGTAAAAGAAACTCCGTGGGAAAGTGACTCCAGTTACTCCGAAAACTCCAATAACTCCGATAGAAAACTCTAGATGGATATACTCTGACAACTTACTCCGACACTCCGATATGTGATACTACGGAGATTATGTAAGCAACAGGCTTTAAACATGATAGGCGGCTAATAACACGATCAAATACGCTCTGATAAATGATTAAAGGAATGAACAATGAAATGGTAATAGAATTTAAACGATAGTAAATAATCACACAAAACAAAACAGTTCAGTTCATTTCAGTTCAGTTCGCTTGCTGAACGTTCGTCACACTCCTCGCCCAAGGATTACGAGGTTAATCCTTGCTACTTGGTACACATGGTCTATGCTGGGCTAGGATCTGCATCGTCTGTTCCGTTGTTTGGCAGCAACAGGGTGAGTTCTTTTATAGGCCGTAAGTAGACCTTCTTTTCTCCGTCTCTGGCGATTTCAACGTTGGCTTTCCTGACTCTCCTGTCCTCACTCTCTATCGCTTCCGTTACTCGTCCTAGTGGCCAGTTGTTGCGGCGTTGGGCGTCGTCTCGCAAGAGAACGATGTCTCCTACGCGTAGATTTCTCCGAGTCGCCGTCCACTTTGGTCTGCGCTGTAAACTCTGCAAGTACTCGCGACGCCACCTTGTCCAAAATTGGTCGGCAAGGTACTGTACTCGCCTCCAGCGACGGCGTACATAGAGGTCAGGCTGTAAGAACTGACCTGGGGAAGGTCCTGCTGGACGCGTCTTCATCGTCAGCAGCATTGCAGGGGACAGGGGTCATGGATCGTCAGGATCAGATGGTAGTGCAGTTATCGGTCTTGCGTTGACGATCGCCACTACCTCAGCCATCAGCGTGATAAGTAGCTCGTGTGTCAGCTGAGTCCTGCCCAGTTCAGCGAACATGGCGTCCAGTACTCGTCTGATGGTGTTGATTTGCCTTTCCCAGACTCCGCCAAAGTGTGATGCGTGGGGAGGGTTGAGCTCCCATTCGCATCCGCTCTCCGTTACAAATTTCTTCACTTTCTCCTCGTTGAGCATGACGGGTGCCACGAAACCGAGCGGGTCGTATACAGAGTTGACAATAGACAAAACTCCTCTTCTAGTAAACGGTTTTTCTGGCAGGGACACTTCGAAGGTGAAGGCGTCTGTCTCTAGGTCCCAGAAAACTCCAAGTGACCGTAGTGCTGGTAGACTGTCACAGCGCAGGTCTAAGTCACGCACATCTTTGCTTCGATCTTCGGTTGGGAATGTTTCCATGACTTCAACGGAGTTAGAAACAACTTTGTGCAGTCGTAACTTGGCAGTGGCCAGGGTGGCTTGCGCGCCTTTCACCAGTTTTATCGCGCGTCCAGCGGTTGGCAGCGAAGCTAAGCCGTCATCTACATAAAAGTTGCGGCATATGAAATTCTTGGTCTCTTCTCCATTCTCCTCCTCACCATCTACCGCTGTTCGGCAGAGTCCGTACTGCGTACTGCGGGGCTCGGTCCATTGCCAAACAGGTGAACGTTCATGCGGTACTCCGTGACGGGTTTTGTCGGGTCGTTTCCTTCGAACCAAAGGAAACGAAGGAAGTCTCTGTGTTTAGGGTTGACATTGAACGAATGGAACATATGCTCCACGTCACACATCACGGCAACATTCTCCTTTCGGAAGCGTATTAGAACACCGATGAGGTTGTTCATCAAGTCTGGCCCTGGTAGAAGCGCTTTGTTCGGCAAGACTCCTTGAAATTCGCAACTCAAGTCAAACACGACGCGAATGGTGTGCTTTGTGTTGTGGTACGTCGCGAAGTGCGGTAGGTACCAGAAACTGCCAGCGGAAGGCGGTTCTTCATCGCGCGGGACGGGAGAGGCGTGGCCTTTCTCGATTATCTTCCCCATGAACTCCAAGTAGTCCGTTTTCATCTCCGGTTTTCTGATAAACATCTTCAAGAGCCCTTGCAGGCGCCGCATGGCTTGGGCGCGGTTGTTCGGCATGGACTGGTGCTCGTCACGGAAAGGGAGGGGCATTTCCCAGTTACCGCTTGTGTTCTTGTGTATGCCCTTGTCCATGATCTCCAGGAAGGTGCGGTCCTCAAGGGAGAGGCTGGGCTCGTTGTCATGCCGTGTGGTTTTGAAGACACCATCGGCGGCGCGCTCCAAGGGGGGATCTGTGACTTTGAATTGATTCGGGCAGGGGACCAATTCATAGCATTTGCCTTCACCTTCTTGCTTTCTCCGAGAGTCGGTGGACAGACTGGTCAGGCGGGTAAGAACGTGGGCTGGACCGTTGGGGAAGTCAAGACAGAGCTGGCCACTGATGGTCCAGCCGAGGGCTAGACGTTGTGCCCAGGGGGCTCCACTGGGGCCATTTCTTGATTCCCTCACTTTAAGTAGCTCTGGTGCATCGCAGCCGATAAGCAGGTGAACGTCAGCGGCGTCATCCAACAGAGGTATCTCGTTCGCTATGAGCGATAGGTGCGGGAACCTCCTCGCCATAGCTGATGTCGGGATCTCACGCTTGTCCTGGGGGATATTGTCACACTCCGTGAGGGTAGGTAGGGTGAACTCTGCTCGGTTTGTGGAACATACGGTGACGCCTGTCAATCGCCGCCCGTATTTCTCTTCCCGGTCGCCGCTGCACGTGGACAGGAAGTACTTCTCTAAAGGACCGCTTGCTCCTAAGTCATCCGCTAGTTCACTGGTGATGAGGGAGCTGTTGCTCTGTTCATCAACGATTACGTAGATGCGCTTCGTGATGTGGGGGGTGCGCTTGTTGAAGATATCGACTAGCAGAGTCTTGCTACAGGATAGTCCTCCTGTTGGTCGCAGAGTGTAGTGCATTTGGGGTTCACAGCTCCGTTCTCCGGTCTGGGGGTTGGCCGCCTGTCCTTGTGTAGTAAGGCGCTGTGGCGCTTGTCCCCGCAGATGGTGCACTGTTTGGGTGTGTCGCACTCACTCGCGATATGGGCGTTGCTGAGACAGCGAAGGCACAGGCGAGCGTTCATTATCCACTGTGTGCGCTCTTCCAGGGATTTCGCTCTTCATCTTGCTTTTTCCTGGTGCTTCTTTGTTTCCAGCTGGGGGCCGAACTTCTGTTTTCAACGATCTATTGTCTCTTCCTCCGCGCTGTCTCTGTGGGGGAACTTGGGAAGGGATCGTTTCTTTACCAGCGAGGACATTGGGGTTGTTCTTAATCTTAGCTTGCTCCTGGACGGTCTTGGAGAATCTTGAGAAAGGGGGGTACATCCCTCGATGGCTGTCGGAATAATTCGAGATCTCCTTCTCCCATTTACGGCGGATGGATTTCGGTAGCTTCTCAGCTATGGGTTGAATAGCGCTTGGGTAGTCAAGGCATTCGAGTCCTGGGAGAAATGTCACTTGACTTTCGATGTCCGCGCAAAGATCTGCAAACTCCTGCAGTTTGACGTGCTCGTGTTCGCTGAATGTCGCTGTACTTCGCAGGCGTTCCAGAAGTGCGTTGGCGATCACTGCCGCGCTGCCAAAGCGTTTCTCGAGTTCCGCCCATAAATCTCTCAGCAACGCGACGGGATCGCGCATCTGCCGCTTCCTGTAATTGTCGACCAGGCGCTGTGGGGGTCCGCTGGTGAAACTCCTCAAATAATTTATCTCCTGGATCGGGGACACATCGGTGTCTATCAGCATGGCTTTGAAGGCACTCTTCCAAGGGTGAAAGAGGGAAGGATCTCCAGAGAACACATTGGGTTGGCACTTTGGGAGGCTTTGCCTAGCCAGGCCTGCGACTATCTGTTGATTCACTGCGGTGAGAGAGTCGATTAGCTGGCTTCCAGTGACATCTCGGAAAGGTGTCGAAGTCATCAGCGGTCGGCGATTGAAGGCCGTGTCTTGATGCGTTCTGCGATCTTCGTTAGTAGAATTCTGGCCTGGTGGATCTGGGTTTGGGTCGGGAGGTTTTGGCCGCTGAGACATTTTTTTTAAAGACTCAAATTTCGGGGCGGCCGGTGATAGTGGTTTTGTTCGCTCCGTCGTGTCTCGCGGATCGTGTTCACGCTCATAACGTGTTGCATTTTCCGCGCGTGGGGGGCTAAGTGTGGGAGAGGAGTACACCCATCGCAATGTGCGATGCTCCATTTTAATTTCGGGGACTTCGAAGTCCGGTAATTGTAACTCTCTTTCCAAATTTTCCTCCAATCGGCGGGCGTCTTCGAAAACCTCGAGCTTAGCGTTTGCTATCGCGGCCTTTTTATCTGCACTTAAGATCGCCATCTCGGACTCAAACTGTGCGATTTCCTGTTGACGAGTTCGTTCCGCTTCAGTGTCGCGCGTCCTTCGCTCAAGTTCCTTTTGCGCTATGAGTCGAGCGTACTGGGCTTCTTCTCTGGCTGCTTTAGCTTCGGCCAGCGCCTGTAGCCTAGCCATCGTGCTACTAGATTTTGAGGCGGATGAAAGGCGAGATGAAGGACAAGATGAACGACTAGCGACGGATCGTGTTTCCAAATATTTGCTCGACTTACTTAATCTATTTTTTGTCTTTTCGACCAGGAGGAGGGCGCGTTTTAAAGTTTCGTTTTCCTCCACAAGCTGGGCCTCTTTCGTGTAGTCCCCATACAAGTCTTGATCGTACAGGTCAAGCAATTCCTTCATCATTCTTCCGAGCGCTGTCGCACGCGCGCTTTGCACTTTCATGACTAGCACTTTGCTCTACCGATTGCATAACCCTCAGGAGCTCTTTACGTGATTTACTTAATTCTTTACGTTTACTATCTATGGCGTTTTGTAGAGCCTTTGGCGTAGGTTTTACTGTTCTTTTCTTCCTAGCTCCGGACTCCTTGGTTTCGCTGGTATTCGGCGGAACGTCGCTTCAGCATGCCATTGTTGGTACGCTCAGGCTCCGCGTTAAACTAGTTACGGCTTACCTTTTTACGCAGGATCAAACTTTTCACTGTTGCGTACCCAAGTGTTGGGATTACGTTGAGTGTCAACCACATATACACATCCGTCTCATTCCAGTTTTTATTGAGTACAACGTGTTACAATGCGGTGAAAACTAAAAGGAAATTTATGATTGCGTAATCAGAAATGATTCTATGGAAATTACAAATGAATGTAAAAAAAAAAAAAGGCGATTAAATTTACAAAGGAAACTCACGTTTGATCCTGCGTAAAAAGGGTAAAAGAAACTCCGTGGGAAAGTGACTCCAGTTACTCCGAAAACTCCAATAACTCCGATAGAAAACTCTAGATGGATATACTCTGACAACTTACTCCGACACTCCGATATGTGATACTACGGAGATTATGTAAGCAACAGGCTTTAAACATGATAGGCGGCTAATAACACGATCAAATACGCTCTGATAAATGATTAAAGGAATGAACAATGAAACGATAATAGAATTTAAACGATTTTTTTTTTTTTTTTTTTTTTTTTTTAATAGTATCTCTTTATTGCGCCGTACTCTCCAAAGGGAAATGTTAGTCTACTTACAATAAAGTTCAATAATACAATATGAATAACATAAAACGATAACTTTACCATATCCAAATACAATACGTTGATTGAAAAGCTATTGCTGCTAAATTACATTTGTGCATTGAGACTTTGATACATTAAATGAGGAACTATAACAAAAGTGAAAAAAGAAAAAGAACGTAAGGAGTATTGTTTGAAGTGTTTTGGTGAGAGTTTCACTGTTGGCAGGTGTACCACTAAGTTTTTTATTTATTTACTTTTTTATTATTTAAATTTTGTTTTATTTTATTTTGTATTTTTTTAAAGAGAGTTGAGATATTTTAACCGCATTTGTCAGGAGCTAGTTATTGACGGTATTTTCAATTAGGTCCCTTTGGTGAACTGCATTCACAAAGTCGTGAAGGACAATGGGCTTGTTGTTAAGTTTACAACTATAGATATAATAACGCATGAATAGTGTGACGTAGTCGAATTTCTTGGTGGTACTATTCTTGTTTAAGTTGGAGGTAATTCCGAATAAAAGTTCCTCCGTAGTTGGAGAGACCTGTGAATTTTACGTTGTGTTAAACCACCGAATGACTTTCTGTATGAATGATTTCGTAAAGGGACAGTGAATAAAGGTGTGATCGATTGAGTCTTTTTCCCCACAAAAGCAGCATTCTTCGTCAGTTTTAATGCCATATTTGAATAGTTCTCTCTTTGTCACCATGATTCTATGAATAAACTTAAATTGAAATTCTTTTAGTTTTGTTTCTTTGCACAGCTTTCGTATTGACTTAAATATCTTTGCCCATTTTTCATCATTCAAAGAAAGTATTTCGCTCCATCTTTTAGGACCTGCCTGACCTCCAGTGTGGATTTTAGCAATTAAAAGATTATAGAAATCCCTTGATTTGGCTTTATCAAGGTTGAGCGTGAAATTTCCGTTGAGGTGAAAAAGATGATCGTTACTTGTGAAAAACTGATTATTAACTGATTCTATTTGTCTTGCTTTCGACCGTAGCCGGTCAGGTATGGCACTAATAATCTGAAAATACTGGAGGAAGTTTGTCTTGCAAGAAAACTTTCCTTTAAATTCCTGGAATGAGAGATAGCTACCATCCTCCTTCAACAAGTCTTTAATAGAAACGATTCCCTTCTCCATCCAGTTGCTGAGATAAACGGGTGTTTCATCTACTAGAATTTCTTTATTATTATACAGTACTACATCACTTTCCTGGTCGTAACCGTAAAGTATTTTTAATTCTTGAAAAAATTTGAGAATGTTCTTATAAAAGGCTGGCAATTGAGGGAAGTACTTTGTGTCGTAGTTGCATTTTAGAAGAAAATTTAAGCCCCCTTTTTCCTGAAATAGTGGTTTGGCACAGAGCACCAATTTTTATCTCCAGCATTCAAAAGTCTAGGGATCCATGCAAGTCTCAAGGCTTTAAACATAGGATCTACATCTGTCATGCGTAGCCCACCTTCCTCTAAATCTTGGTAAAGCACGGTTCGTTTGATCTTATCCTTCTTCTTTTTCCATATAAAGTTAAACAACTTTCTTTTCAGCGTGTCTGCGATTGTATCAGGAACTTCAATATTTGAAGCGGAATAAATGATCTGTGAGATACCTAGAGTTTTGGTTATTAAAACTCTTCCAAATAGCGTGAGGCTTCTAGCACTCCACATATCCAATTTTGTTTGTAGCTTCCTTAATTTCAGGCTAAAGTTAAGGTCATCATTCCCCTTCTTATCGTACGAGAAGTGAATTCCTAAGATCCGAACCGGGGTATGCATCCACTTCATGCCCAATGGGTTGGTTTTATTGTTAGCCCACTTCCCAAGCCAAATCGCTTTTGTTTTCTTCATGTTTAGCTGTAAACCAGCTATCCTACCGAAGTCATTGACTGTATTTAAAGCTTTTTCCACGGAATTTAAATCTGCACAAAACAGATTTGTGTCGTCTGCAAATTGTGACAGTTTAAGTTCGTTGCTAAACAAATTAATGCCTTTGACTCCCGAGTCGTAGCGTAGTTTTATGGACATTAATTCGGCTGAGAGGATGAACAGATACGGTGAGAGAGGACAGCCTTGCCTCACACCTTTCGACGGTTTGACCCAATTCGTTGTGTACCCATTATTCAATACCGCACTCTCCACGTTCGTATAGAATGTACTTATCCAACGTTTTATGCTGCTACCAAAATTAAAAGCATCTAAAATTCTCATAATAAAGGGCCATTCGAGAGAATCAAAAGCCTTACGAAAATCAAGAGCTATAAGAATGCCCAGAATTTTTTGCTCTTTTGTTAGGTCTAGAACATCGCTTATAAGTCTAATGTTTCCCCCAATGTAGCGTCCTTTTACAAAGCCTGTTTGGTCTGGATGTATTAAGTTCGGCAAAACCGTT